AGGAAGATTCACCACATTTGTATCCCAGGCAGCTCCTTCCTCAAGTCTAACAAACTACACCGTATCTGAGCACGCTTGGTGGGCTGTTGCAACATGTAACATGTGTTAGTCCCATTAAACTGTCACAGCTGCTTCTGGGCAGAGACCTACCATACAGGTGTATTTAGGCAAGCTGTTCCTGTTTCATCAGCGCCTGCAGTGCTCTGACAAGTGACACCAGCCAAAAGAAGCTGCCCTCACAGCCTGGCTTGCCTCTCTCCTGTGCCAAGAGCCAGGAGAGACTCCACTGAGATGGGCAAAGTTACACCATTACCCTCTTGCAGTGAGCAGGGTTTCACCAGGGGGAAACACTCTCCCAAAATCGAGAAAAATCAGGGTCTGACCCAGCCACATTCTGAGCGTGCAGACTGCTAGGGAGACACTCAAACAGCAAGATATCACTGGCAAAAACCTGGCCCCAAGTGCTGAAGAACAAATACACAATGTAAACTACAGTTAATTTTACTGGCACTAACATCATTCAGAAGTAGGGTAAAACTTGCAAGGAACTTCCTTCCCCTCTGCTCCTGGGCAGTATTTAATTTGTCTGTACTAAGCACACTAGAAAGGAAAAGAAATCTGTAATAGAGTAGATGTGACTGAGTCCCTTTGACAAAGTTAAAGCCACATTGATCTTTCAAAGCCATAAAAAGATTAGTCATGTCATGATTTAACAACTTCTGAAAAGGCTGAGAGCTCCTCATACAGCCAAACACAGCCCACTGATAAGAAAATGTTTTATAATTCTTAATGGAAAAAAATATATTAATTTCCCTTATCTGTTTTAAAACATTGTTTACTGGTTCAGGTAACAAATCCTTGTTCTAGAAGAAGGATAGATGCTCCATTATTTGCCTGGTGTTTTCTGTGCAGTTTAAATTTCTACAATGGGAAGGGGGGAAAAAAACAAAAATTACATCTGATTTAGACATATAAACTGCCACCTTAGAAGTAAAGCTATATAGTTAAATGCCCATCTGAACTCAAAAATTGTCTCACTCTTCCCCGGTTCTGGTTTCACACTGAGATGACCTTGCCGAAATCCTCTTATGTCCACCTATGGCATTTCTTTAACTACTCTGCTGTCAGGGCAGTGCAAAAGGACTAGAAAGTTGGCCAGAATCCAACCTTCTAATCCTGAGGCTCCATCTTGGGGTCAATCTGGAGAAATTCCCTGAATCCAGTAGGTATTAAGCCATGGCTTCTGAACCAATGTCCAACCATGGAAAACACTGAATAAAACAGAATGGTCCAACCCCAGAGTAAGGCAGTTCTGCTGAAAAAGGCACCAAAAGCAAGGGCCTCTGGAAACCTTTACTATAAACACAACAGTACAGTTAGCTCACACAAGCTGGTTCAGCACCTTTGACCCTCCCCTTTTTTTCCAAAAAAAAACCCAGCTCTGAAGTAAGATACTTCTTGTCCCATATACTTGAACTGAGAAGAGGCTGTCTGGAGCAAGACCTGCCATCCTGTGTTTGTACAGCACCTAGCAATTAGTACAAATAATAAATAAAGCCAAGTGAGCAGAGACAGAGGCACTAGGCAGTATCCGATGTCTCTCCTATTAACTGGTTGCAGAGAGAGGCCAATGACTAAACAGTAATAAGGTAACAAGCCAGATATGCTTGATTCTCATCTCAGTAATTGTACACCAACCTAATTACACCAAAACAAGCATATATATTGCATATAGTATCTAACACAGGTTCATTAAAATGTAGCTGGCCACCTATATTGTATGCCATCTAGGTGAATTCCTTCCTATGGGACTGTCCAGCATTTGAGTAACAATTAAAAAAGTGATGCTTTAAACTAGGGAAGGTGATATTTATATACTACAACTACAAATTGCAAAATACTAAATTCTTACAGACAGTACAAGTGTTTTAGTTGAAACATATGCTGGACCTGTACAGAAAAATGCTATTCCTTCTGAGCTGTTTAGAATGCAAAGGCCAAAGTGAACCAAGCAAAGCAGGAAGAGTCTGTGGCAAACAAACTAGTCATCCGAGCTGAAGGCTGGCTAATGCCTTGGTGCTAAGTTTTGAGACCTCGCACATTCAAGAACTCCCCACTCATCCACTTTAGCATCCAGACATTTACAGTAATCTCCATTCAAGTATCGTTTTTCAAATACTGACAATTTTCTTTTAAGAACAGATACAACCAGTGAACAGGAGAGCCTAGAACAGATTTCACACTGCAATGGTGCTATATTATCTTCTCACATTCTCCTGCTGTACAGTTCCCATCATCTGAGAGCAAGAGGCAATAACTGGCTGCACAGAGTGCAGTTCCTGATAAGAGAACAAATGAAAATTGTCAGGCACTGACTCTACCATAGCCTCTGTATCCAATATGCTGGCCTCATTCAACTGGACTTTCCTCTGCATCCACCTGCATCACCAGATTAGGGACTGTGAGGTCTGCAAGGGCTCTTTACTCAAGCAACAGGATAACCATAAGCTGAAATAACTCTTTCCCCCTCTCTCCAGCCAGCAGCTCTGCTCCCTTCACCCAGTAAGATAGCAGAGCAGAGATCCTCTGCATATACAATCAGTATGAAGCCACAGGGAGATCCTCAGGGCAAGCCATCTCAGAGAACAAAGGAAGGATCCCAGGGCTCCCTTATGCCGCAATCTCTGCCGTTGCGTGAAGACACATGGAAAAAGGCTATAAGCCCCCCAACACCACATTAGCAGAACAGAAGGGCAGACAGAGACCTTGTCCCCAAACTCTAAAGAATTCATTGCATTGTAATAATCAGAAGCACACCAACATTTTGGTATCTGCAGCACAGGAGCTTCAGATGGTATTATCACTATTTATATAGTCTTTTCTCATATATCACTTTGCAGTTCTTCGTCCTTTCCGGTAAGGATCTTTATCAGAACATTGTCTTACTAGTGTTAAGTGCAACTAGAGAAGAGACAGACAATATCCATCTCTGCAATGCGCTGAAGCAAAGCCCAGTCTAGCAGGGTCAATATTTTAAAGAGCAGCAGCTACATCTTATGGAAAGATTTAGTATTGCAAGTTCATTCCTAATGTGTGAATTTAATTTAGGAAAGCTCAGTTTTGCATTAATCTAGCATGGGATTCTGCTGAAATGGGATCCTTCTCTGCCCTGGTCTTCCCCTCTTTTGTGCAAGTCATACCAAAGGGCAGGCACAGTGATCCAATGCAAAATAGTTTTCTCAGTCAGCATACTTTCCCCAGATCAGTAAGCCTGTCTAGATCATCACACCCATATCACTTCACTTCCCCTTGCCAGGGAAGAAAGGGCAGCTCCATCCTTTGTGGCTGCACTCTTGATCTTATTTAACTGTAGGCCAACAGCAGACTGAAGCCCCAATATTCACTGAAGACTTTAACAGAAATTAGTTTCCACAGTTCAATACACATGGAAGAGACAGCTCATGAAAACCAGACTGAGTATCAAGTTTTTCAGCCACCTGATCAAGTCAATTACAAAGGAGAAACTATATCATCCTCAAACACAGCCTTGAGTAATCTTTGCTATCTGAAGCTAAGGTAGTGACAAAGCTTTTGTTCAGTCTGTTCTGTGAGAAGTTTACTCTCTGCTACTGTCTGGCACTTTCCTAAGCCTTAAACTAAGGAAAACACACAGAGCAGTTTCAACAACAGCTGAGCATTAAATATTGTTGCTACTGTTTTCCTATAGATACTCTCCAGATAGTACTGAATTTACAAAGAAAAGCCAATGTACCATGAATCTGGAGCCTGTTCATCAACTGTAGACCTGCTCTGTGCTATAGGATCTTCCTGCTACATACAATAGCCAATATACATGCTACTAACAGGCAACTAGCTAGCTAAAGAGCAGACCTCCTAGGAACTGTTACTCATTTTTCTTCCTGCCCTGAAGAATTACCCTGACATACAAAGAAATTATTCCAAAACAAGGAAAGCTAAGAGCACACCCAGCAGCAGCAGTACACTTGAGAGCAAAATGCAACTACTAGCCAGGCAAGTGAGGGAATGACTTCCCAGTGACACTAAAATAAAAAGCAGTAGCCAGCAATGAGGCAATCCTGTTAAGTAGAAATAGCTCATTTAAGATATCAATTACTGCCCTAATTAAAGCTGACTTCATCCCAGCCTCTGACCTGCAGCCTCCTGTATTTTGCTCAAGGCCCTCCGTAAGAGGTATCACTTTGTTGGTCATTGTCTTTCAGGCAAGCGTCAGAGGTCTGGACTACTGACTGGAAAATCAGTAGCACCAAACAGACCAAAGCAATTAAAAAAACCAACAAGGCAGAGCAGCAAGTCTGTTCTGCTATTCAGTACATCTTAGTTAGCCTGCTACAACAGAATCACTTCAGTGCAACCACATAGCCTTAAAATAAAGAAGGCTAAGTTCTACACTTTCACATCAGTAAATGAAAAATCCACTCCCCCTCAAGTTCTGTTGGCAAATGAACAAAGTACAAGACAACCCTATAAGAGATGTTTTGCCTATTATTCACCTTCAAGATTAGTAACTGGTCTTGTTTACTGCAAACACTTAAGTCTAAGATTCACACCAATAAGCAAGTGTCTCCTATAAAGGGAGAACATAGGTAACTGTAGGCAGGACATAACGTTCAGTCTGCTTAAACTTTCATTTCTTATTTTATGGCACTTGACAGGTCAAGCTCTGTTACAGTCTTGTAACTCTAGAAAATTTGATTAAGAGGAGACTGCAGGACATGCAAAACAGACATGTCCTATGTTGACCCTGATCAGCAAAGCCAGTTTGCTGATCAGTACAGAACCTTGGTGCTGCCATATAGGAAAAAAACTGAGGATGACACTGTTTGAACGACTTATGCGAAAGCGTTTCTCATGATGAACGTTGATACGTACCAGAAGGGGCACTCGAGTCAAAGTACTTATGACCTTGCCAATAAACTGATGTTTCCTACAAAAAGATACAGCCAATAACATACAAGAAGTGCAAATCAAGAGTTTTATTTTTTCCACATTCATAATTAAAAAGTGAGTGAACACAGAACAGGAATTCAGAGAGACTAGACATATTTACAAGACAGTTCAGCTATTAGATTTTTTCCATCTTCAAAATCAAGTCATCACAGATTTTCGTTAGCTCATCATTTTCTTTAGTCTGTTAAGAACGGAAAAAGAAAAAAGTGAGTTTCTGGTATGGCTAAGCTTTGATACAGTAAGACGAGTCAAGTCATGTTTGCCAACACATGGAATAGAAAGTCCACTTATATGTTACTGAACTATGTAAATTTACTCTGAAGGACAGTCTACTTTTAGAAGGTTATAAGGTACCCTTAATAGGCTTGGCAAATGAGCCAGAATTTACTATATTGTCTCTACTTCTCCTACAGACTTTCCCCATAATCAGTCAGTCTTGGGAATCATGAATTATACTCAAAGTCCTCTTGTTACTTTATCTTAAATTTAAGATAACAGTGACAGTTTAGATTTCAGTCTTCGCAAGACAAACTATTTTGCAGGATGACACTTGGACACTTACTGACACGTGGAAAAAAAATCTAGTTTTTGTAACTCCTTATATGGTCAACCACTTTAATAAAAAGAGTTCTTAACATAAGATGTTGCTGCATTTATAACAGGAGCAAAACTAGTACTGTGTTAATTGGCTCTTCTCATCTCATTATGTCAAGATGTATTTATTCAGCTACGCAAACCCCAGCCCTAAGCCTGAAAATGCAACAGACACGGGACTTTTCCTCAGAAATGCAGGAATTCCGAGTCTTCAATGCTGGTAAAAAATATAACCATACTGCATCATGCAGTATAAACCTAGTATCAAGCATTTCCAGCAATGTAATTTTTAAATCCTTAGAGTTTTTCCTTTAAAAAAGTCTAACATGGCCTGAAAAAAAACTGAAAGAGCTCAGACAATACAAAAGTCTGTATTAGTGCTAATGGCTTAAGTCATATGCTTAGGAACTAGCTAAATCAGTCAGCTATTCAAGATTCACTCCCAAATTCTGCCCTGTAAGATGTTTAAGTTTCACTACTCCACCAGCTCCAGCAGTTCAGATAACCTCCAGACACAGTAACCTGGACCAATTGCTTCTGTGACCCACCAGTGGTAACAAACCTTGCTTGCACAAATTCATACACATAGATGAGTTCTAGCATGCTAGAATTGTGCCCTAAGTTTCGATGGCTATTTTCCAGAGCCTGCCTGGACAGCAGCCAGCAAAAACAGCACAGCTAGTTAGCATGGTTATTTCTAGCACTGGTACAAGGCACTTAAACTAGCTCAAGAAGTAACTCAGACTCAATAGTGACACTTTTGACTAACCTTTTGTTCTAGGCTCCTCTCTAAGGACTGGATCCTCATTTGTTCTTTGCGAAGACTGGCTTGTAATGCTGCAGTCTCTGACTTGGCTCTGCTCCGTACCTGGGCAATTTCTTCATTTGCTCTGGAATTGAAGCAGGACAGCGTTTAAGCCCCCAGACAGCATAGTGTGATTTGATGTGAACAGTTCTGCCAAATTCTTGCACTTGGAAGGTTAATCCCCAAATTAAAAAGTGTTTTAAGTCACACTAAAGTTTTGGCACCAATGAACCAAGTTCTGCAGCAGTGCCAATTAGGCAAGCTACATATTTCACTCCCAGTACTTGACTTCCGACACGGTACTTACTGATGCAGCTTTTCTTCAGCATGTGCCTTTAGTGCCTGATATCTCTGCTCTTCTTTCTTGATTCTGGCCAGGTAGTCCTCAGCACATTTTTTCAGAGCCTCTTCATTCTATCCCAGGGAGAAGTTTAGTTAGCTTTTTACATGCTAGGAGCTAAGCATTTGACACTGCAGATTCCTAGCCACATACCCACAAAGATAAGTTGGACAAGTTTCCCCACTTCCCATATAGGCTATTTGACTACAGTAAAGTGGCATTATTTGCTTGAGAGTAATAGGAACAGTGTGTCAAGACCCACACACTCATATGGAGGTGAAGAAGTTTTCAACCCTCATTTTGCACAAACTAAACTATCTTCTGCCCCACCCCCTAAACATACTATCTAACAGAAAGCTTCCAGTAAAGAGGAAAGGCTGCTGGGACCTTGCTAATTCTCTTATCAGTTTCTGTTCTTTCAACTTCATCTTAGCTTGCAATTGTCCCAAGAATAACTAGAAATTCAAGTACTTCCAGGAGTCCATGGAAAGATTCAGGCTTTGGACGCCGAGGCAAACGAATCCAACACTAAATAGCAGCACAGTTACCTCAGTTGCTAGCAACATTATCACACCTTGATTCTTTCACTAGCTACTATAGCAAGTTGGAGCTGTTTGAAAAAAGCGCTAAGACTCTCCACTAATTCCGGATCTTGAACTTAGCAACTCATTATGTCTCCAGATGATGCTTTAGCTCTGTGCTAAGGAGAAACCTTCTGCATTCACAGTGGAGAGCAGGAACGGACATAAGATGAAGAAAGATGTCTCATTTAAGTTTCTGCAACGCTAACATTGTAAATGGCAAGAGAGAACATGTCTGTTTCTCAAGCCTAGACTACCATGAACCTTTTAACAGGCTGGTTTTGAGCTGAAGTAGGGGACATTAAAGGATAACTTAAGGAAGACAACACATCTGAAGGCACATCCTCTTCATAAAAGCTGTTATCAGTTTCTATGCCTTTCCTACACAAAGAAATTAGCTCAGTAGCTTCATTTCTCCTTCTCCAGAAATAGCTGTAGATGTTTTAGAACAAAGACCTGACTTTACCAGGGTTTGTTTTTAAGCTAAAGAATATCCAATAGCATGCGTTTCACCTTGTAATAGCACCCAGCGAGAATGTAGGGAACCAGGCTACGCCTATGCAAGGGTTGACACTTTGAATCATTCTCCATGATTAGCAAAGTGATATCCTTATGCATACAGGAAGGAATGGCTCGTTCTTTTGCTTGAGAAAACTTTGGCTTCTAACAAAAAGATGATCGTATTTTAAATTAGAATTAAATGCCTAATAAATAGTTCATTTTTAATCTTTAAACAGACTACAACCTGGTACCTTGTTTTACAGGTAGTGCCTGTAGTAGCTAGTGACTGCTCTAGAAATTCATCATTTCTCCAACTCTTTCAGAAGGTAAGTCACCTTTACCTTGAAAGGTTATCATCTGCATTACAGCAACTTACTTTGCGATAACCTTCTAGCACTTCTTTCTGTTTTTCAAATCGTTTGAACAGTTCAGAGAAAGATTTCTCCATAGAGTTCAAATCTGAAATAACTTGTTGCTTCTCTTCCACCATCCTCTGCATTTCTTTCTTTGAAAGCTCCTTCTGCTTGTGAGCATCCTCTGAGAAAGAGATGATAACAGTGTTAGGCACTGCATTAGCGTAAAACAAAAGAAATTTATAATATGGACACACGAATTCTACACCTACAGTTTACTGTCCTCTTCAGTAAAAAAGGCTTTCCTAGTTTAGCCTCTCCTCCCAAAGGATGTCGTATCCTTACTTTTAGGGAAGAGGTTAATCTGCTGCATATTACCTCCTATTAATTCCAGAGGCCATTAAGGGCTGTGCTTATAAGGGGCTTGTCAAAATACATAGTTTTACTTTAAAGGCTTCTATTCTAGTTCTACTGCGATGTAGCCAAAATACTGCACTTGAGTTTACCGTAACAGAAGCCTCAGATGCGACAGAAACAAGGAATGTAAGACAATATTTACATGTTTTTCATTCCAAGCATACATAGGAGCTGGAATATCTGGAAGACTGAGATAACAAGCTAAATCGGCACAGCAAACCCTTTCAGGTCAAGTTTTTGCTAGTACACCTGAGCTATGTTTCCCCATAGGCTTACTGTTTAAAGAAGCAGGAAAAAAGTTGACATATTAATCAAGTCACCTTAACCAAACTTAAGCAAGACACAGATCTGGCAAATTCAGCTTGGAGAATGAATTTTTACAACATGACTCTCACTCAGTGTCTTCGTGACTTTAAAGTCACAAATCTGACTGAAGCAAAGGGCAGATCTACCCAGTCAGAACTTCTATTGACATCTAGTCACTGTTTATTACCTGACTCATTTAACACAAGCTGCAGACATTCACATGTGCCAATTCTAAAAAAACAACACCAACAGTCCACACTCAACTGGAGAGACAAAAAAGCTTAATGTGTCTGTGCCTAACCTAGGAAGTCATCATTACCTACCAAGTTATGTCAATATACACTATTACATCTGTTTAAAGATACAAAAACAGTTAACCTATGAGTCTTGCCTGCAGCCATACACACAACCCATAAGCAGATGAAACACTAAAGCCATTAAAAGTGAAAGTTAGTAGTCTACTACTACGACTTCAGTTAGTAGTCTTATGCTTAGCATGGGCCCCCCTCAAACTATTGTGTAAATATGAAACTTACCCATCATTTGTGTTATTGTACCCTCAAACTCAGCAACTATTTTTCTGAAATAAAACATGAAAGACAATGTTGAACGTAAGTTAGAAAAACCAGCCTGAAGAAATAAGTAGATACATAAATCAAGGCAGATGCTTACCCCATTTCCTTGTATTCCATATGAAGCTTGTCATACTTCTTTTTCCATTCTAAGGTCTCCAACTGCTTCTCTTGAACCTTTGGGGGCGGGGGGAGGAAGAGGGAGGGGAGAAAGCAAAACTGTCTTTCACAGGGAGCAATACACATTTTGAGTACCAAAATAGCCTGAAGGGTAACTTAGATATACTAAGTATTTACTATGGGGAAAATTTGAATTCTGACTGCTCAACAGAATTAAAGTGAAGTGTTTCATTACAAGTTTAGTTAGGTTAAATGAGATGACAGAGTATGATACTTAGGTGTCACAGAAGTAATTCCAACTGAATGTGACTGACATCTATTAAATGGCAAGACTGGAGCAATCTCAGCCTACCTCTGGACTAGTCTTACTCATCCTACATGAAGGTCACATTGCTCCTTGGCCAGTAATCTTCTGCCATGAAATATTCTCTCAAGAGTCACCCATTCTCTTTTATTTAAGAGGCAAGCAAAAGAAGCCATATGAATCTAATCTTAACAGAGAAAAGACAGCAAATACTGGAAGGCAGTTGCATTTAAGAGGAAATATGTTTATTCACTCATGGAAGTCACTGCTAAGTTTAACAAAATTTAAGGTACTCACTAAAGCATTCAGACATGCCACATAGCAATCAATACATCTTCAAGACATTTCCAAGATACACTATACTTTGGTATTAATAGGAAAGAAACATCTGGTCATAGAAAGCGTCAACAAGGCATGAGATTGGGTTATATCAATTACTTATGTTTATTAGAGATATATAGCTGAATCACCTTTTGTGTCAGAGTTGCATTCTTCTATATTTTAACTTCAGTGAACTTCCGAAAACAGAAGTTAATTTGTTCTCTCCATGATAAAGTCTTGTTTTTTATTTTATTTTTTTTTAAATAAGCTATTTGTAATAAGGACAACCTATTCCTTATATAGAGTTCTTTAGCAACTGAATCGCTTGATATACAACTAGTTATTCTGGTCAAGATCAAGCTGCAGTTTAAAGCCATTTTTATGCAATGCTCAACCCTCCCCCACCACAGTTCCAAATTTAACCACATTTAATCTTGAAGAATATCCATACCTATATCCCAACAACTGAATTTAAAACAGAACTCACAGTAACCATATTAGACACTATAAGCAAGGTAGTATCTTTGCCTTAAACTCCTGGAAATTCAGTTTTGTCCTGGGGTTTTCTTTTAAAAACTATAATGCTGATAAGTCAACTTCACAGTATGGGAAGCCACTTAATAACAAAGGAGCTTAAACATAGATAAAACAGCCTAGAAGTTTAAATAAGAAGAGGAGAGCACCCCATTACTTCTTGTTTTCCCTCAAAGTTTCACAGCATACTGTAATTCAGGAACTACTGTGACTTTGGTAGTTTTGAGAGTCAACACACCTTAAGTGAATTGTAAAAAAGAAAGTATCAAAACATACGGAGAGAACCTGTCAAACTTTAAATTCCTTACGGAAATAAATACAGGAAGATTAATAATTGTGAAGTCGGAAACAAAATTTGACAAAAAGCAAGTGAAGACAGAAACAATTAGAAGTTTTCATTTGTTAGATCAACTGAAATAATTCAATAGACCCCCAAAAAGCAAGTTTTCATGAAATGTTTTATAGATATCCAGAAGGAAAACAGGGTTTCTCCCCCTCCCCCCACTCTCAAGTAGTTTCACAAAAAATTAAGGTCATCCTAAGTTCAGGTTGTCATCCTTTCAGATTAATACAGTACAATCAAGCTTTTTTTTTTTTAATTTTATTTAAGTGAGGCACAGCTAGAGTCATCCAGTCACACCTATCTTAATGCAGCTATGTTTACCTGTTTAAAATGGTTCTCTGAAATCAGAGCACTAACTTTAAGATGTTACAAGCTTTACTCCCTATTATGCAAATTGCTTTTTGCTTACTGCGCTAAGATCTGTTCCCTGCCACAGCTGCACTATTTCCTCTTTCATGCACTACAGAACACACAAAGTAAAAGTTTCCTCCCAAATAACAGACAGAAAACAGTTCTGCAAGACTGTCATTTCTAGAAGAGTGAGCACCTTTGTACTCAAAAGGAAAAGAACTGTAAAGCAGCAAATGGCCATAGGCGCTGGTAATCTTCATAAAGGGCATTTGGTATCCTTAGTCTCGCCGACTGCAGCGTGGTTGGTCAGATATTTTGAATGCTGCCTCAGAAGTTAGTTTTGCAATGACCACAGAGAGTGACACAATTAATTTTAGGGAGATTTAGGCATAAGTACTCCTTTTACACGATTTACTATTGGTAAGTTTACATAATCCAAAAGCCATAATGAAAGTAGTTAGATTTTTGGAATGATGGGACATACCACTCTTGCATCAAAAAGTGAGGGTCAGAAAGCAATTTCCATACCAATAGAGTTGAAGACTCTTGACATACCACTGGTTCCTTCCTTCCTCTTCCACTTACGTTACTCTCCACCACTGTTCCAAGCTATTTTCTTAGTTTAGCAGCTGGACATATCGTGCTCTCCCCTTTGCCTTGTGCCTCCCAATTCCACACAGAAAAAAGACAACACATCCCTTCACTGAATTATCATCACAGCTTTAGCTTGTTTTAAGGATATAGTTATAATCAAGGCCCTTGTTCCTGTAGGCAAGAACAGGTAGTTCTTGCATAGTTTAATAAAAGTCTTTAGATCTCTGATATCAAGCCTCCATGCATTACACCTCTTGATAGTAGATCCTTGTTTAATACTGGTCAGTACTAGGCAGAAGCTGACTACTAAAAGTGAAGTTTGCTATATTTCCTTATATATCAGCCCTAAAGAGTTCTACAGCTCTTACTTCTATCAAGTTCATAGTAAACTTTTCAGGAAGAGATGCTTATTCCAAGTCTGATGAAAAGGACTATCAGGTGTAGAGAAGTGTACCACATAAAAATCCCCTTTGTGTGGTTTAAGGCTAAAGTTTTGCTTGGGAGGGATCACCATACCTCTTTTTTAACCAGTTCGACAGCTGCATCCATATCTTTTTGACTGTATTTTAGCACATCTATAATAGCATCCACTGCAGCGTTTGTGGAAGCAGTAAAAGGCAGTGGTGAAACACCACTGGTCAGAGAGTCTGGAATTAGGGGACCTCTATCCTGTGAGGAAAGAAAAAAAAAAAAAAAAATCAGAGTTTTAGCTAATTCAACATATTTAACTTAAGAAACCTCCAAATTGCCTCCATAACTGTTACCATAACCCTCCAAACTGCCTCCATAACTGTTACCATAACAGTTGCTATCTTATAATTTTGTAGAATTATGCAATTATTTGAGGTGTTAAATTGCCATCTACCAGTTATGACAGGCAGAAACAGCAGACGACATCACACTATGTCCGTCAGTAAACCAGGCACCAGTTTGGGAAACTGCTGTGTAGATCTCTATTCAAAAAACAATGCTCACATTACAAACCTTAGGCTGTACAGCATCAAGTTTAACTGAAGTGCTTTTCATCTCAGCAGTGCGATTAAAATAAGAGTTTATCTTATTTTTGTGGCTTCAGCTGCATGAGAGATTGCTCAAATACAGCGTTCTTCAGAACGGTTTAAATTCTCTTAAAGAATGTGCAACGCTACTAGTTTGCGCAAAAAAGATAATACCCAAGGACATGAAGCCCATCAAAAAGTTTAACTTTGATATCACTGGGTATCCAACCTCATTTCTAAGATGACAGTTTAAATAAGCACTTCAAATATTCCGTTATCCAAAGCATTAAGTATTCTGTTATCCATAGAAGCTTTGCATGATAAATCTTGAATGCAGAACACTACCTGACCCCTTCCCGCAAAATATCAACAAGAAATTTGATCTCATTTCAGGTATCCTTACAGAAGTTGTAAATGTTCCCAGAAGATCTAGTCCTTTCGGTTTTTCTTCGTTTTGAAGACTCACTGCAGGCTTTTCAGCTTCCTCAAGCAATCTGCTTAAATCAGCAACAGGACTAAAAATGAACAGATGCTAGCAATTGTGTTCAAGTGCTGCCTTTCTTTGTAAGGCTATGTACTACAGTTTAGATTAAATCAATACCTACCCACACTGAAGGGGAGCAGTCATGATATTCGTATTTGTTTCAATAGTACCAGAAATGGGTTTTCTGGGACTGTCTCTCAACAGAGGGTCAAACTTCAAATACAGCGACTGTTTCCTCAAAGCAGACTCTTTGAACTGAGGGGAAAGAGGTGTAACTAGCAGATTTACTGCTTTATAGCGTAACACTAACACACACAATCCTCTGGAGGAAGGGTGAGCCTATTCTTCTGTGGCCAGAGTATTGTTCTCAGGAGAAAAATTACGTAACAGACCTTGGTGCTCACAGGCTTAAGTCCTTATGTAACATCAAGTGAACTCAAAGTCCTTCGCTCACAGAGAAACAAAACGAATTTTTCAAAGCCAGCAGACCTATCTGACAGGGAAAGATGGTATGTAAACTGAGGGAGTAGTATGTGTCGGCCTCTGCCTTTGCTAACATAAATACAAACATAGTGGGATTAAAAAAAAAACTATTTCAATTCACTGTTATATTCATAGTCACTCCTACTCTGGTCCAAAGGAAGGGGAAGAATAATTAAGCTGTATTAATTGAAACATGACATTCTGATAGACTTCCTGAAGAACTCTTAAAAAAAAAAAAATATTGCTTCAAAACAGTGATCCTGCACTTCCAAAGCATTATGTTCTCAGAGCTTTGGCAATCAGATGTAAAACATCACCCATCTCAATTTCACTACTGACAACAGAAATAGCACCTCTGCAAACTAAAAGCACAGGATCTCTGATGCTTAGCAGAACTGCTTGTAACTACATTCTCCCCCAGCCTTATAGAGACGTTTCTTGGAAACGGAATGTATACTTCTATGGTTAAATTCAAAGCCAAGTCATTTCACAAAAGTATCTAAGGCTTGACAGTTTCCTTTCTCTTCCTTTCCCCTTAGGCAGGAAGGGGAACAAAACATTTCAGTATCATACTTACCGATGAAGTTCCAAACTGTTCCAGATAGTCTATTTCTATGCCCATTCCTAGAACTGGAAAAGAATGATACAAAAGATGTGCAATATTGCCATATTATTTCACGGTGAAGCATCTACAGATAGAAACAGATACGTACAGGTAAAAAAGCAAATAAATCCCTCCTCCCATCTCATCAGCTTTAGTTTTCCACTTGCCAAGAGTCTTACACTTCAAAATGAAATTTAAAAAGGCAACGTTTTCTAAGGCAAATAAACTTGCAGCCTCCATTTATCCCCAAATGCATATTAAACTCATAGAATTCAACACACATTTGAAGAAATTCTGTTGTGCTATGGTCAAAGTGGCAAGCTCACTCTGATATTCTTCTACTTTACACAGTGCCCCATAAAAGGTTAAAATTGCCAAGTCTGACCATTAAAATCAGTATACAGCTCATAACTGCGATCACAGTTATCACAGCCATTTCTCAAGACATCACTGCCACTCCAGTGGTCAAGAAATTTCCTCATCCTTCCCCATAATGCTCTTACAAGCAATAACCCTTCCAGGTGAACAGAAGTCTTTGCTATGCAGTAAGTTTAAGACATCTGTGCAAGTGCAGAAAGATCACCCATGCTGCAACAAGCAATCAGCATTTAAGCAGTGCTGAAGGCCTACAGTAAGCTATAAGACTCAAATGCAGGCAGTTAAACGGCTCTAATGTTCTCAGTTTAGAGAGCACTTAACATCAGAAGTGACTTTGAGGGCAGAGCATATATTTTCAGCACAGCAGCAGTCACTGAAGGTCCAAAGACACCATTTCTATTCCAGAATAAAGTTCATCTCTTAGGCAGCAGATTGCTAGCAGTCAGCTATTGAACTTAGTAGAATCCAGAGGAGGTTAGACACAATCTTCAATACATTTCCCACCTCTGCTACATTTTGTGAATTCTACAACCTCTTTAGGACAACAAAAGGAAATAAGAAGTAGTTTCAATTGCCAGTACTGAAGTAAGAGTAAATAAATATGGAGCAGTTATTTTAATAACGTCTTTCCAAGCCTATCCTAAAACTGCTCTTACCTTCTGCTGATGGTCTGAATTGCTCTTCAGGTTCAGTGCTAGCTGTCGGGTCATCTGTTATTGTCTCAGTTCTGTTGGAACTAAGTTTAATTTCTCCTGCAGGCATTGAGCTTTTTCCACTGTCAGTAGAAACTAGGTTATCTTGAGAGGGGACATTACCTGGAGACAACTTAGACGGACTCATTTTCTTCTCCTGTAGAAAAAAGCAATCCTTTTTATTGTTAATATAAAACATTTTACTTGCAATATGAAAATAATATATTCAGGATCATAGTAATGACCAAATTGGTTTGTCAAACTAGCTGGGCAGCCAACATAATTAAATCTCAAAAGTTCACAGCACAAACTACACAGTACCAAGATGTTAAGTATGGCTCACATTAGACAGGAGTAGCTCTTTAGAGTCTATACCCTTAGGTTTGTCCTTATATGCTACCGCTGATCAAAAGAGATACTATGCATCAAGCTATCAGTTTTGCTGCCTCTGATGTTACCTTCAAAAGAACTCTGTGCACAGTTGATATTCACTCTAAAAGTAGTGAAGATCCTTAAAAACTAGTTCTTACATGAAATATCAAACAAGGGATATAGCGGTGAAGTCAAGAATAGTTTTGTTCTGTTAAACTGGCCAAGAACCAGATCTCTTTTCTATACCTTACCATGGCTAGTTGTCCTAGAAGTTCAGCTTCTGTTTGACCTCCTAGCTTGTCTTCTTGAATTCCTGGCTTGTCTTCTGCCACACTCTGTTTACCAATTTCCCTATAGAAAAAAAAAGATATTGCCAAAATCCAAGTCACCTAGACAATTCTTAACTGTTTACCAGATATACTGAAACACTGAACAAAATAAGTTTGAGCGCTTCTTCTGACGCAGTGCAGAAAGTTTCTAGAAGAGCGAAGATGTAAATTCACTGTTTTGCCTGATGGCACTTAAGTGACAGAAAGCTCTCCCTTCATCAACAGCAGTGCTATCCGGGAAGCAGAGAAAGTCACAGCGGTACCACAGAGGCATTTCACATTTTACTTAATACCCCTGACGTATTTCCACCTGTAAAGCCCAAATCACTTTAAGATGAGCTTTTTGTTTAAAAAAAGAACTAGGATTTACAAGGCAACCTGCTATTCTTTCTGCCAAAAGAACATGGCATGACTATTGGCATAAAGCTTCATTAGAAGTCCAATATTTCATTTACTGCTGACAGAATAAATATTATTTAACAAGTTACAAGTACGTCATGGTACACAAGGAGCAAGAAAGCAGACACTTATTTCTGCCAAATGTACATCTCCTTAAAGTCTATTTCAGGCAAGCACCTGCCTATAGTAACGCAAAAAGCTGCTAACATTTAATAGTTACACTTTATAGGAAATAAAACACACCATCTCCCCTTCTCAAGTGAAGGGAAGAACTCATTCAATCCAGTGCCACAAAAACGCAACATTTAAGGGAAGCCGCAACATTTAAGGGAAGCCGTTTAAGTGGAGATAGCATTCAGAGTCCAAGACAAAGAAGAAACTACGAGTTCAGCCACTACTCTAACTTGCTTCAATCAGTCCTTAGTTCTACACTGTAAACATGGAACAGAACTGCATAGTCCTTCACACCGCATAAAGCACAATTACGCCTATTAACTCTCCACAGTCACAACTTAATACACAGTTCACCTGAAAGATAGCAGCAGCTACCTATCCTCCACATTTTACTTTAACTTTGGAAGAGGGAGGATAAAGAAACATTTGACCAAGGTATTAATGCTCTTCCCACACAAGCTTGTTCTCTTCCCTTCCTCACGGCTTAATAATGACTTTTGCCCAAACCTAGCTATCTCCAGATGTCTCCCCAAGGAGATCTTTGCTGTCACAACCCATTATGCTAAAAATTACAGTGCATGTCAGAATTTCACCCGTCTCTGAGGGAGAAACTCAAGGAGTTAGAGTCCATTTGTTCTAAGAAATAAGTCATCTCCTTTCTCACAGGAGAGTTCAAGGTGCTTCTACATTCAGTTATGCAGATTTACTTACAGACTTCCAAGATCTCTTTCCTCAAGAATCTCACAAGCACTTGGTGTGTTATCCTGCTCCACTGGAAGAGACTCCCTCCTTGACAAGGTACCATCCTGCTCCTTTTGCAGATGAGCTTTTTGAATGCTAGGTTTAGGGCACTTTGGTGAGCTGGAAATTTTAGAGCCTCCTCCAAACGGATTAAAGTTTGGATCATCAAGTTTGTCCCAGTCAAACTTATAAGATGCTTTGGGAACAGGAATTTCTTCTTCCACATTACTCACACTTTTCACTTCAGTATTCTCCGTTTTTGTTTTGGCACCAGGAGTTTTTTTGGAAGATGGCTTAATACCAGGTCTTTTACCTAGTTTCTTAGGAGGTGGTTTTCTAGTAGTGGTGTTATCAAAGTCAAATTCCAGTTTTACTGGTCCAGCCTTGGTGATACCAGGCTTTTCTGCAGGTTCCTCCTTGGAGATACCAGGTTCCTCTGCAGGCTTTGACTCTTCTGTAGAGCTTTTTTCTGCTACTGAAACATTCCGAAGCTTTGGTTCCCCAGTTTTAGAAGAACCAGTAGCACCAGAACTACTAGCATCTAAGTTGCCAGATAATCGTACAGAATGTGTAGGCACTTCTGTTGATCCTACAGAGTTATCTGTTTGGCTTACTGCATTGGAAGCAGATTTCACATCCTGCACAGAGTCACTGATTGCTTCCTTAGGAGTCAGCTTGTGTTTGCTAGACTCCAATTCTGTCGAAACAGATTCTTTTCCAGGGAAAAGTATGTTTTCCTCCGCGCTGGAGTTCTCTGTACTTGCTGTAGTTGAAGGAGAAGGAGCCGTATCATCCAGCGGAAGAGAATTACTACTTTTTCCAGAAACTCCCTCAGGGCTGCTAGATACAGGAGACTTTTGTAGATTTCCAGGAGAATTCTGCAGCTGCATTGAACTCTGAAAGGGATTGATGTCATTTAAGTTATCAAAGTCAATGTTGTAAGAACCTCGGCTCTTCACTGGCATCTCATCATCTGGGTAAGAAGCAGTGCTGACCTTCTCTGGCATTTGTGTATTTGACTCTCTACTTGCTTCAGCTTCAGGTTTTTGAAGACTTTCGCTGCATTGAAAGAGTCGGATCACACATGATTAACTACTTTCCAGATATCATTTCAAATCATGTTTAAAAAGATGATTTGCCAAAGTAGCTTTGTACGCTCTAGAACAGTTCAAATTTTTGATGTAGTAAGGGAGCTGACAGCAAAAGAATAGCATAACAAAGAATCAGTTGCCATCTAAACAGCCTGCGATTATGAGATGGTGTACACGAACCACAGGAAAAAGAATCAGTCCTTAAAGGCACTCAGTATTCCTAAGCTATCCATTGACCCACAGCTAAGTTCTCTTATTCCAGTCACCACTGTGACAGCTCTCCTTACCACAGTGACATGAAAATGGACATTTCCATTTCACTGAATAGTTTGAAATATATAATCCTTGGAGTTATCAAAAACAATCAGCTTAAACACAGACACAACTAGTAGCACATCCTCGTGGTGATTTGTCTATGAGTCATGACTAATAAGACTACCATCATGACTCACTTCTCCCATTTCATCCATTACTTTGTCTGTTCATCCTGGCTGATTTTGTTTGCCTGAAAAGCGAGTGCCAGCACTTCATCCATGAGGTCCTCCACGTCAGAACAGAATCTGGACTTAGATATTCTCGGCTCTATACAACAAAGCTGAAGAGCAAAGCAGCATATGCGAAAATAAATGACTTCCCTCTAATAAGAGAGGGAAGTAAGATTCTAACAGAAAAAAATAGGTTAAAGAAACTTGGTATACTCACTATTGCTGGGTATTCTACAAGTTATTGCTCCCCATGTTATTTCCCCAAGCTTGACTTCTCTGAGGCTCATCCTCAGACTACAAAGAGTTAAGCCATTACTTCCTGAAACAGGATTTCCTCCCATTGTTTTGTTCCTGTGCAAAGTAATTATTTGTGTGCCATTCATATCTGCTATAGAGCAGAACATGATTAAAAGCTGCTCAATAAAAATACTACTTTGATAAACCTGAAAGCAAAAGCTGGAGATAAAGGTCAGAAAGTTCTCACCGGGTTTGAGTGCCTCTTCCCTGCAACAGTTCAGCCCTAGACTTGTCTAACTAGTCAGGCCCCTCCCATTTTCTTTCAGTGTTTAACCTAATAAATGCCAGTTGAGAGCAAGCTGTATGCTTGAAACTTAGAGGGCATGTTTTTTAACTACTTCTCTCTAAAAGTAATTCAGCAACATGCAATTCTTTATTTTAAAATACAGATCTGCTTGTAGAAAGAGGAAAAGCAGAAAGGATATGCACAAGCAATGACCTGACACACAATTATGCCCCTAAAAACAATCAGGGGCCAGCCCTTAACTCACTTGAGCCGTATATGTATTAGATCTGCATTTATTCATGCAAACAAGTTTAAGCCATAGATGCAATTAAGCAAGTAGTTTAAAAAATCGTGGTGGCTTGCTCAGAAGTAATTTTCTAAACTAGAATATACGTGCAAGTTAATAACTGTTGAAGTGAATCCAACCATTTAAGGGGTACCGAGATGTTAAATGAGAACTTGTCATCCACTATTTCCATCTTTCTCCCTTCTCCCCTTCCTAAATGCAACAATAGGTGCAGGTTGCATTTAAACAGGTAAACAGGTAGTTTAAAACAGAAGGACACACTTGTCCACAGAAGAGGAAGCTAAGCTCCAAGACTTCTTACCACTAGGCATCATAGACATCAGATGCTTACTTAAGTTTAAAATAAGGCTGAGAAATTCAGTAAGAAAAATATCCACCGTGAACTATGAAATAACATAATAGCATTGTATCATTGCTACACTATTGTAAACTGCATCTCTAGTGAAGAGGAGGCTGCAAAGCCTAAATTAACACTGCAGACTTTGTGCCCTTCTCTAGGCTGCTGCCATTGGCCACACTGGGACACAGGCTCCTAGAGATGCACGAGCGAGTTCTGATTTGGGATTGATGTCATTCACTTCAAGGTGCCTTTTTTTTTTTTCTTCAAAATCTAAACACTCACTGACTCAGGGCGTTAATTCAAGCTAACCCTTCTGAAGACACATCCTAAGGAGAAAATTTAAAGAGATAATGAAGAGAATGTGAAGACTTGTCAGATTAGCTACAGATAGTCATAGAGTCTCGCATAAAAAAACTAACCGTAGGAAACAGTTTTGTATTCTGTGCCTAATGTACTTCTTTTGTTTTAGATGTTATTTGTATCATAGTAGTCTTCTCTGCCAGTTGTTGCACAGATCGAAACAGAGCTCAGTAATCACTATCGCAACCAAGATAACTGTCATTACTTCTCAGAAAGCTTTAGCTTTGAAAAGAGTTTGTGCATCAAGTTCAGCACTAATACTGATCCACTTATGCAGTCTACGCCTGTTAGAAAAATTACATTTTAAACAACCAAGTTTAAAGCAAGGGAGAATTATATTGAGTATGTCCTGTATTGTTAAGACTACTAGCAGTGACATTACTTACTCAATATTGTTGCATGCAGATAAAAGATCATCCTCTGGGGCTTCCCTGAAATCATCAAGCGTAAAAGTAGCCTCAAGTTTGTCTGTCATGGTAGGACTTAAGATTTTTCGAGTCTGAGGATCTCTTAGAGGAGTTTGAAAAGTTACCTTGGGGGTGGGGGGAGGAGGAGGAGGAAAAAAGGAAGAACATGAACAAAGCAGTATTTTCAAGCTTCAAATAGCAAACATATTCAGTTCAGTGTCTGAGATCGTGGAAAGGAAGAAAGCAGCATATAATCAACACAAAAGTAGATTTACCTTCATAGTTTTTGCCACACTTCTTGGTGGCAAGTTTTCTTTCTGTGATAAACGCAGAATGGATGGTCTCCCTGTAGGTTCCGGTGGTGTGAAGCAAAAGTCACAGTCTTCCGCTGTTAAATCATCATTGACGTTTTCACCATTTTCTCCATTTTCTGCATTTAAAATCTGCAGACTCATTCTAGAATATCAACACATGTACAACAACACACCAGAAATGAGAGGGCGTGGCTGTCCAGATGCACTTTCAGATAGTCAAAGAAGCTGGAAGCCTGGCACTTACTAGCAGAGAAATATCAACAGCTGCAAAAGGAGTTTTCAAAGTATTAAAAATCCTCATGAAAAGTTAACTCAGACCACCCTGCAGGTATCTAAACACAGCATTTCCACAGACACTCTTCTTCCGATGAGTCTAAAAAGTTAACTGCTGATACCACACTTTCCGCAGCTAACATACAAGCCTACTAAGCTGCCAATCCTTTACATGGAGCTGCATCATTTACAACTTTCTTCGTTCTCAAATCCTTAAGGCCAGTAGGGTCACTGAGGCGCAGTCACGTCTCTTATGATAGGGCATTTAACTAAGCAAAACTACAGCCTTTGCAAGCAGCAAACCATCATCATTTCTCTATTTTATTCATATGGCCTCATTACCACAATATACACCTGTAAATAGTAAAACAAGTGCTAGTTTAGTTAAGGTGTGCTTAGGAGCAGAGTTCTGAATAAAGTTATATAGAAAATAAAGTTATAAAGTTATGAATAAAGTTATTCAATTTTTCCCTGCACTGTCTGAACACATGTGCATTTTGAAAAGGCACAGAGCACTTAAGAATCCTTTGTCTTATAAGCATTATTGGTATGAAAACCCTGAAAAAAAGAAAACTTGTAATAAAGATATATATTTCTTAAACATTGCTTTTTACATTAAGCATACCTAAAGGTTTAGAAGACCATATAGGATGATCTAATTTTACTAGCATTTCAAGTGTGAAGAACTTAAACTAAAGCTTGCAGGACATCTAAGATTAAGGAAGAAAATAAGCTAGAGAGAAAGAACACATTTAAGTATCCCATGCAAGCTAGTATCTTATAGTACTTCAACTCAGTCCTCCTTTTATTCCCATTAGAGCCTCCTCTGGTGGCTTTTTTATAAACAGATTTAAAATCAGTAGTAGCCTCACCAAGCATTGTGGGGTTTTTTCGAACAGAAAGACAAAAGGCAGAAAAACCCAGAGGATGGAAAGCATACAGCAAGAATTAGGCATAGCCACTGCCCACCAAGGATGATTCCTTGATGGGTGCATAGCTACCCGTCAAACCACCAGCAAAGCTGCTTCTTCCATAAGAATGAACCCATTGGAAAAACGCACACAAGGACCTATGAAAGATAATCAGGATTGTCAACTGGAGAAGATGCTGGCTTTCTGGAATAGATCACCATTCCAAAAGACCAAAAGCTTTCTTTGAAATAAAACACCTAACAATTAGTTTTTCCATCCTTCATCCAAGAGCAGTCAAGTAAATCATCTGAAGATGACAAAATCATTCAGAAAGGTAACAAGAACATTCACCCTGAAAGTTTTACATCGTGTTTTCAAATCTACTGTCCCCGTGTGTTTAAATTTGTGAATTTAAGTCTCTGCATACATTCTCCCACTCTTATATTAATCATTACACAGATATTTGCTTTACTATCCACTGAACTCAGCTGCTTTGTCTGCAAGACAGACAACAGTAGAGCAGAGTTTTACACTATCAGCAATGGAATACAAACAATAGCTAAAGAAGCAACAGCAAGAAGCAGGTTATGCCTGTATTTGTTATTTCTCTGAGTCATATTTGAGCCAAAGTTGCTTTAGAGCTAAAAAATTACATTAAGAATTTATAAAACTTTAAGCGCAATCAGCTTCACTGCTTCCCTTTATTCCTCCAAGCTGAAATTGAGACAACTGATCAACACCTGACTAAAGAAAAACTAGATGCTTACCGTAGCTAGTTAGTTTAAAAACAAAGCCTAAGATGAGATAAAATTGAGTACCTTCCAACACAAACTCAAATGAGCATCCCCTGCTCATGGGAGACTTTAGGTTTATTGCATTGAGCTCTTTATGCACCGTTGCTAGGCCAAATTAAATACCTAGTATACTGACATGATGCACATATACCACATTTACCCACAATCTTAGATATTAGAAGCAAACTCCATTTTCTGGGATTCAGCTGTTAAAATATGTAATTATTGACTTAAAATATGTGCAACTAGAAGTTGATCTAGATTTTATTATCACAGTCTCGCTGGCTAGTAGCTGTGGGAAATAAGGTAAAAGGGAAAGGAAGGCTTTAAACAAAACAAAACAAAGAAATCTTAGTTTTTTTAAAGTGATGAGTGTCCAATGCACACAAGCCCATGTTGTAAAAAAAAAAAAAAAACCAGCAAGTTTTCCCACTATGGCCATTTAAAGATCCCCAAATGAAATCACTTCACATCTTAAAAGAACATATATTTAAGCACAAGTGGCAATCTTTCATTCTATATTTAAGAATGAACATAAATTCCATGATAGTAGGTAGCCAGGATTTGCGTAAGGCCTGAAAAGGATGTTAGACCGCTTTAACTAGAGCTTCATAGCAGCTACTTGCTGTTTAATGGTCATCAGGGCACAATACCTAAAATACAGTTGGATCCTCAAAGGCCTAAAAAAGGCACTGAACATGCAGGGCAAAGAGATGGAATTTTTGTGCTTAATTATCTTCTGAGATCCTCTCGCAGTTGAGCTGCAGAGCACTGGCCAATAGAGTAATTTAAAAATCAGTAATGTGCATGCCTAGCATTTCAAGTCAAAAATGCACGCGTTATTACAATTTGTAAATACTTAAATGAATGGAGAAACGTGCCCTGAAACTTTCCAGGCAAACTGACAGAGCTGACGGCTGTACTTTCTAGTGCAAACCTATCACTCCAAAGTTAAGCAAACAGTCCGAAATGGCGAGGTGCACCTGACCGCAGAAGTCACCCGACTGAGAAGCGTCGCCCTCAGCAGACAGACAGCTTGAGGGAGGGGAAGGAGCCCCGCTGTTAGCTAGCGGCAAGCTCGGGTGGGCGGCCCCCTCCCCACCCCCCCCCCCGTGGCGGGGGGGTGTCTCGGTAGCACCAAACACCGCCCCCGCCCGGCGCTGCCAGGACTATGGAGCTACCCCCAGCCCC